CTTCTCCTGTTGCCGTACGATTTTAGAATAAAATTTTTTTTAATGAAGTGGCAATATCACTGAAAACCCTTTTAAATTGAAGTTAATCATCGGAAAGTTTTTCATTTTTAGACAAAACAATTAAAGCACTTTTTTTGTTCTTCTTAAAGAATGCCGATGTGGTATTGCAACCCCACATTGCATGAACAAATAATATGTTTTTAACTATTGCAGGATCTAACTTCGATTTTAATTTGTGTGATTCGGGTTCATCAGGACGTAGCGCTACAGTAGCGATCATCAACAGTGTTGCCAGTTTATTACAAATCTAGCAAATCCTTTACATTTATCAAAGGTTAATTATTTACATTATTACATTTCCAATAAATCTATTATATTTTCACTTATTCAACAAAAATCGTTCAATTTTTAGATATAATTGGAGCTCAAGCCGTATTGGCCCATTATTTAAAGGCCCATAAGTTCTTTGTTTTTAGGCCGATTTTCAAAAACAAAAAATGATTTTGTAGGTATTTTTATTGGCAACAATTTTGTTCTCTTGTAGATTTCCAAAAAAGCTTATAGTTTTTGAGATATTTCTAAAGAAATTAAAAAAACACAACTTTTTGAGTTTAAAGCCCGATTGGGCGAGTACGGCTCATACGATTTAGTGCGATTTTCAAGGAAACATTGTCGACTACCTAAAGAAGGAAAATTTCAGCTTGTCCCAAATTTGTTCCGGGTTGCCCCATGTAAACACCTTAGTTTTACTAGCCTACACAAATCATCATAACTACTGCGAAAAATTCCATTTTTTTTGGATCAATCGCAATCGCATGTTTTTTGCCGAATTCGCACGAATAATTTCGGGTATAATGTATGACCGTCATTGTTTCACTGAAATGGGATCATTCGCATAAGCTCATGATACTTAGGATCGGGAAGCCCATGTTTCAAAGTATAATATTTATTTTCAGTTGTTTTTTTTTTGTGTTCCTATGTATCTTGTCATTTTTTCTACCTATTAGTGAATAATAGAATGTGAATACTTATTTTCTATTTTGTTTTTTATACTAGCTTTAAACAGTTTGTGTTGTGTTAAAGTTTGTGGTTTATTAAATTTAATCAACTAGCACTATTGTCACTACCTAAGTATTGGTTGAGTTGATATATTGTTTTTTTTTGTTCTAATAAATAAATATTCATACTAAATCAATAATACTATGTACCTACCTATTTAAAATCACCTTATTCTCCTAAGTAGTTCCCCCATTCCCATATTTTTATGGGCCATTCCTTCAAAAAACCGTATCTTGCACAATGCGCCGCCAAAACTAACCCAAACTAACCGAACCTGGCTTACTTTAACTTAAACTGCCCCCCCTTCAAAAGGTCTGTATCGGCCCCTGGCCTGTAACCTGACATCTAAAAATACATGACTCGGACTGCAACACCAAAAACTTTAGAACATGTAGTTGCAGTGATATCATAGAGAGAGTAAGATTTATAAAGCAGTTAGGAATTTTTGATGACAAAAATTCAAACTGGGAAAATAATGTTAACAATGTCACAAAAAAACTAGAAAATTATTATACAAACACCTTGAACTTAGAAACATCTTAAATATCAAAATTCTAAAAGTAGTTTATTATTCATCGGTTGAATCTATCATAAATTTTCAATGACAATTATTGTCTGCGGCAATGCACCAAAAACAGTGTTGACCAGATTATGCATAGGCCAAAAATATATAATCAAGCTAATGATGTTCAAAAATAAAATGTTTTTTACAGAACTACTAGTTCAGGAAACTCAGGAACTCTTAAACCCAAAACAATGGGAAGTTTCGCCATATTTGAATTTCATTGCTTTATTATTTTTAGGCCCAGGTAACAATCTATATAATTCTATTGGTTATTAATAATAACGACAACTCAATTGTTCCCCAAACTAGTGTTAATATGCTTAGTTTGTGTTCTAGAATTGGAAAAAAATCACCAAATTTCCCCGTTTTATATAAAATCTGCATTAAGATCCAGCAAACCACGACCTATCAATGGCCTTTGTCAGGCAAGGCACACAGCAACTCAGCAGTCAGTGACATATCGGCTATACTGGCCCCCCGAGTTTATACCGCTTTATCTGTATCACCTAAAAATGAGACGTTTAACAGCTTTAAAAATAAAATTCAAGATTGGATTCTGGATAATACCGCTTTTGTAACTTTACTGAAATATTACATTGAATTCTACTACTAGGTACTTCATTAATTACTTATTGCATAATATAATTATATGTATTTATTTTTTCTACATAGATTTCTAATTGTAACATAACCTAAATACAAAGTTACAAATGATTTGAGTTGATGACCAGCATGCACAAATTTATCAAAATCTATTGTGCTGGTCTTGATAATATAGTTTGGGTCCTTTTGTAAATTATATGGTACTAAGAAAATAAATTTGATTTGATATTTCTTTAAATTTCAATAATGAGTTTAATTCAGACCACCAGTTTCAAAGTTGTTTTATGAAAATGTAGAATGATATTTTATTGTAGCCGGAAGATATGCCTAATCTTAAGCATATGACAGAAAGTCGAAAAGTCCACGTCACAACGAGTGCACTCCAGCCGTTCGAAAACGAATTGGTATAAACTTTGGTTGACTTTCACGCTAGTTCAAAAAAATTCGGGGAGCTACCCAGTGTGCACTCTTCCTTAATCAACTCTGCCGCTAGGTAAAGTTCACTCCTGTCATTCTTGTCAGCTTTTTCATTTTTTAAATGTACTATGTACTGTCAGGTTTATTTATTCCATTTTCTGTTTCTCGGAAGTCTATAATAGGTTGAAATTATGTGCGTTCGAAAACACACCAGATAAAATTTACTCTTTTGACCATGTGTCCATGGGTATACCCACTCTTACCCTTGGGTAAAATTTAATCCTTTTTCGAACGCACTCCTAGGTATATTCAATGTTGAAATACTTTTTAGGTACTCGTTAAACGCATAATTTGATGGTCCTCACCATTCCATAGGTTTTTTCATTTAGCCGGTTCAACATTCATTTCCACTAATTTTTTCGAACTATTGATTTATTATTATTATTATTGAGGTATTTCATATAAATACATTCATTACTCATACACCTCTTTCCCACATATATTTTCAACAATAATCTTGAATACAATCTGAGAAATAATTTACAAAACTAAAATCTTCTTCAGTTATAGATCATATTTCTATGAAAACTGGTCTTATTTTTTGTGACTGATGCACAAGATACGGAAGGTATTTAGTCCCGTAGGTTTCCTGAATTGTACAAAGTTACAAATTCATAATTTTTCTGAAAGCTCCAGAAATGTGTAAAGATTTAATATCTAATCACGTTGGCTTAAAACCGTTTATTATTAATTAACAAGCGTTGCCTTAACTTACTTTTTTTCATCAAATATTTTCTAGATTTGGTATACATATAATCTTACAGCTAATACGCAAACTTGGATAGTTTGTAAACTAGCTGGATAGTTTACAAAGTAACTAGGTCTTTGATAAATTAGATTAGATATTTTCATAGTGAAGTAAATGCCCATGCAAGCTAATATTATGCTAGATTTTCAACTTGGGAAATGATTTACTTTCTTATTATAGAGATCTAATAAAGAGGCGTTAAATTTTTTTTGTGACTCATTTTATTAACAATTACTGTTGTTGTTCCTGTGAAATATAAAAACAAACCTGGCCAGGACAGCAAACCTACAACAATACATTCCGTATTCAAAACTTAACCTAAATTTCTTTATAAATTAGCGAGAAAATTGGTTGGTTAGTTTATAAACTAGGTTTGGCTATTTTGTGTTACTAGAAATTATGGTTTTCATATTAGCCAGCTAATTTAGTTTTCTCAATGATTTCAAGTAAATTAGCCAAGACTCTTGGTTAGTTTGCAAACTAGCTGCTATTTTAGTGGAAATTGAGGACTATCCAGCTAGGGTTGCCAACCCTCCCGATTTAGGCGGGAGACTCCCGCTTTTTTGTCATGCCTCCCGTCGTAAAACATCGCAGCAAAAACTCCCGCTTTCTAAAAAAACTCCCGCTTTCTAAAAAAACTCCCGCTTTCTAAAAAAACTCCCGCTTTCTAAAAAAACTCCCGCTAACTCCCGCTTTCCAACAATTTCGCATTTGACTAAAGAAAAATAATAATTCAATATTTAGCAAGAGAATTTTTTTTCGCTATCGGGCATTTGCATCTTTTATTTAGGGTTTTTGGATGTTTTTGGGTATGTATATAAAAAAGCGACCTCTTACAGGGTGGATTCTTTTATTCAGCAATGGATCCACCTGCTGCCAGCATTATGAGACAACCATACCGATTTTCTAAGAACTAGACAAATATACTGGTCATTGATGGATCTATCGCTGAATAAAAGAAAGCGCCGACTCCGAAGTGCAAGCTTGCGAGCTTTTTCGATGCGTGCCGACTTCTGTCATGCACGTCATGCGTAGTTTCGTAAAAACTAATTTGAAAATTGACAGCATTGAGGATGAGATGGGTATCAATTTCCCGGAAAAATTGGAAAGAACGAGATGGCAAGTAATTTGTTTAACAAAAAGTACATTTGATTGAGAGGGTGTTTTAACGACTGTTTCGTGAAAATTTGAGCGTGGAACCTAAAAATTTAAACCTCCCGCTTTTCCATTTCAAAAACTTGGCAAATTTGCATATTAACCGTAACATATATAATCAGTTCTGCAACTCATTCTTGAAAACAACAATTTTGTCAATTTTTTTTTTATAGATAATCAATGATACCAGCCTTAAAGATACTTATTTATTCTTTCTAGCTGTGGTCCGGTATTTTCTGCTGAAAACTAGCTTTTTGTAGTGTTATTAAATTAATATTTGTGTCCTGATCATTCGTGACTCTAATGTTATCAGAATGAATACATTATTGTTTATTTTTCAATATTAGAGGCTTTATGATCATATTACATCTAAATAATTGTTTTTTTTTTCAGTATAGTTTAATAATGGATGAAGACATTGAATCAAAAACCTGGGTTTTGGTGAACGAAGTGGACTGCGCTGAAGAAGCATTGACTTTAAACCCCACAGTCGGGACTGCAACAGATTCAGATCAAGAATCTGATGGCAGTATTAGTATTATTACTGACCATCCAAGTGAAAGTCATTCGGAAGAAGAACATGAACCTGTAATGGTATCAGGCGTTAAGCCAATTATACCAATTGTAACTATTGATGCTGCTCCTGAAATAACCGATGAGGATATTTGTATTGAATATTCTGTATCCGATTTTTCAAATACTTCTAAGCAAGAACTCAGTGCTTCTCAATATTCTGAAAAAAATGAAACAGAGCATGAAATCAATGTAAGTGATTAAAAAACTTTTTTAAAATGTATAAAAAATTTAAATTATATGTGCAATGTTTAGGAATGCCATGTAACTCCTACTTTTGCTGACTTATCAAAAAAGAACTGGGCCTATGATGATGGGGAATTGAAATTTGAGCCTTCTCACAGACCATTCTTCCTAGACTGTTCTCAAGAACCAATTCTTGAAGTTTCTCAAATCGAGACTGAAGCAAATACTGAAAACATTTCCAATTTGGAAACTTTCTCCATCAACCCAGAATCTCAAACACTTGTCCAGAAACTGGAAAATGTAAGTGCTAAAATACAAACTAAACAACCAGGCAGATATGAAACTTTTACCAGAATTAGAATAGGAATTTTATTATCAATGATGGTACTTGTTGGTTCACACTTGATACAGCAATATAATGAATATAAAGATGATGAAATACAAACTCGAAGCGAACGTTTTTTGGAAGGTCTTGTAGAGCATGAAAAAGCAAAAGAGATAGTAAACTTTTGCACTGATAGGCAAAAAGCAAAAGGTGAATACTCTGAAAGGGCTCTTGAAAAATGTGTTATTAAAAGATTAAGAAAGAAAAATAGAGAGGAGAAAATGCATAGGACAGAAATATATTTGCAAATGAAAGAGCGTATGTTGGAGTTAAGGGAAAGAGAACTCAATGAGAAGGAGAAACAAGTGTTAAAACAATGGTGGAAGACTCAAGAAGATGCATGTGAAAAAAAGGAAATTAAGAAGGACAAATGGTGGAAATTCCAGTCAGATGCAAGTGCAGAAAATTCTAATGAAGAGTCAATCAATAAAAATTCTTATTTAAAACTGGGAACAAGTTTTGACGAATTTGATACGAAATATAAAGAACAATTTGGATTTAAAGAGAAAAAACGATATAATCTATACAAGGAAAAAATATTTCAAAAAGAGCATCCATATTCGAAGAAAAATCAGTTTATTCGTGGAAAAGATAAAGAAAATAATAAATTTACTGAGGAAGTGTTTGATAAACACTATAATAAATATATACCGAAAAATAATAAAGCCAATGAAAAGATATTTAAAACTAGCCTTAATAACAGGAAAGTTACTTTGAAAACATTGAAGGGAAAAATTAAAAAGAAGTACCAACAAGATAACAGACAGCAGAAACAAAGAAAAAGTAAAGGAGACAAGACACAAGATTCTGATGAAGATTGGTATATTAAATACAACCCAAGCCAAAACACCATTGAATTAATTAACATTACCAAACTATCTCCAGAGGATTCTTCATTAATACGAAATGGAAATAAAACAATAAACGGTCAGTGGTATTTCAGCTTATATGGGGATTCACGAAATAATATACGCAACAAGGAAAAAATAGCAGAATGGTATTTCAGAAGGGGCTACTATAGAGAAAATAAACGTGACAAAGCTAAATGGTATTTTGACTATATGTCTGGTAGAAACCATGCAGAGTATTTTTAATTGTGTGCTTGTATGTGTTATTATTTTTTATACTTAATTTAGGCAAAAAATTGCAATGGTTTGTTCAACAGCTGGCATCGTTTATAGTTAGAACTAGGGCGGTATCTGATCGCCTTCGAACCTCTAACTTTCGTTCTTGATCAATGAAAGCGTTTTTGGCAAATGCTTTCGCTTCTGTCCGTCTTGCGACGATCCAAGAATTTCACCTCTAGGGTTGCAGCCAAGTTTTGAAATCTTCTAAATCTTCTAAGGCATTAGAGAGGGACTCTTTTCACTTGTGAAAGCTTCTGGTAATTTTAATACCTTCTTCAGTCACTAATAACTTGGCTGCGACCCTATCAATTGCACTTTTTCATTTGATTATTAGACAGCCGTAAAACTATCAAGCTATATATATATATATGTATAAACATATATTTATACAGAGTGTCCCAATGGTATACTACGAAGTTATTTTATGTCTGAATGTGAAAGTTCATGGACAAAGCGACAGTACAGATAAAAACTATTTTAAAAATAACTTCTCGAATGGAAAAAAAAAAATTATATCAGCATGGGGTTCAAAACCAGTCTTGTTTCGGATACACAGGGTTTAAAAGTTTGCATTTTTTTTCTTAAAATTTAAGAAGGAAAATATGTATTATAGGGACCACTGTTTATACACCCCATTCAACATTTCTCGATTTAGCAGAGACATTCGTATGGCACATTTGATAATTTTTCCTAAGAGCCCTATAAATTGAAACTATCTCTTGTGTTTGTGTTTTTACTATAGATAACCGGTTTTAGTGTCTTGAAAAAATAATGAAATGTTTATCTATTTTAGTGGAGTTTTCAGTTTTTTGGAAGAAGTTCAATAGGGTCGCAGTTTGCTTTCTGGAGGAATATTTGAAGATTTAGGTTTTGATTTTTCTGAAGGTGTAACTTTTTTTGTCGAAGTTGGCTGCAGAGTTTTCGGTTTTTTAGAGGTAGTAATAATTTCTCCTTCACCTGATAAGTCAAAAGCAATAGAAATAAATTCTAGTAGGACTGAATTGAAGGATGAAAACAAAGCGTCGGTATTATTTGGACAAGAAAAGGCCGAATTACATACTAAGGAGTTGCTAAGAACAGGTAGCAAAAATTCTAAATGTGTTGAAGATGAGCCAAGCCCAGTAAATCCACCCAAAACTGAAGAAAATAAACCCAGTGATGCCAAACCTAATGCAATAAGAAGAAAACCTGGGAAAATGGAAAAAAAATATCTACTCAAAAATTCTGTGGCTGATAAAGACAGTGGTGGAAAATGGAAACTTATTTTTCAATTAATTTGACTTTAAATTTAACTTATTTTTTGACTTTTTTCCTCTACAAAATAGAAAGTCTTTTTTACACTCATGGTCTTGATTCTCTTCTACCTTTTTTCTTTTTTCTAATCTAAACTTAAAACTAAATTCATTTATTCTTTGTAGCATGATCTGGCAGCCTGTAAAATCCATTCCTTCAACATCTGAGCAAATCTGCCCCTGATGATGAGATTTTCTAATCTTGAAACATATAGGGCTTTAATTTAATTCATTAAAGTATTTGTTTGAGTTTTTCTTTTGGAAATAAATGTAAAATTTGCTTTTTGATGAACACTCAGGAAAATCCTAGCAGATGCCAAGCGGATGCTTTTCCGTTTCTTAGATGTGATACTCTTACTGAAAGTAGGGTTGGATTGTTTTATTGTCTATTAGCAGTACATGGTGACGTAAACTTTAGTTTTAGATCATTTGTATTGTATTTTTTTAAAGATTAAAATTTGTGCGCTACAAGGACGCAGCATTATGAGCTTCTTCTTTAGTGAAATTTCAAAATAGGTGTTTGTTCAAATATTCCGTTTCAATCTTCTTGCAGATCTTCCTATACAAGTAGTGATAACATATTGGACAATTCAGGGCTGACGCAAGCGGAGTTTCGAATTAAAAACTTACAAGCTCATCTAAAACTCGAAGGTTAGTTTTTAATGTTAGTTGTAGATAACGCTAAATTTATTGAAGACAAAATTTTGACATTGGGTTACATTTCCTAATTGCGACGTTTCGGCCAGGAGTATCTCCGGCCCTTATTTAGCTTATGAATAGGCTAGTGAGGAATTGTATCAATGAATCGGCGTTAGTTTGATAAATACCGAAGAGCGCCCACCAGTCAAAACTTCTTAATTATTGTAAAAGAGTGCACTCCAAAACCATGTTTCTTTCCAAGTAATTTTCAATATTTAGAATTGTAAGAATATGGACAAAAAATAAATAAATTCACTTTTTTTAAAACTTATATCGAGGTACTTAGCGATATAATACCTAGTTTGGTCTTGTGCAGCAATTATTGAACATGAACTCATGAAATTTGATATAAAGTCATTTGAACGTCGGTTTGGTAAAAAGTATGTTAAATTCGCATGTCAAATAACTAGTCAGGGTTATTCCTTGCAGATAACATTCTTAGGTTATTCTGCTTTGGATTAAATTGGAATTATTTAGTTTAGAAAATAGAAAGTCAATACTTGGGATACTCTGTACGTTGATGTATTAAAATTATACAATAAGACATTGTGAGAATGTCCGATTACTTACATAAAAAAGCATTTCTATTAAGAAAATTTATTTGTTAAATATGTATGTAGTTGGATAGCCTAACTAATTGGATGTGATTTTTAAATGTAGGCTGTAATGGAAATAAGGTTCCTGTATGATGAGATGCTAACAGAAATAAACTTTAGGACTCCATATGCTGTAAGTTGGTTAAACTTTGGCTGGATTTGTTTGTGTCTCACATCCACTTTGAATGCAATGACAAATAATACATAGATGTCTATTATTATTATTATTATCTATGGAGCCCTATAAAGTAGGTCTTGTTTGTAATAAGTAATAAGTGTTACCTATTATATTCTTAAAAATGAGATAATAAATGTTTTAAAGATTTTTGGTATTGGTTTTCTTCCTCTATTGTTTACCAGCGAAATTTATCTGTACTGTCAGTGGGTACTGTCTTTCAACTTGAATTTGTAATAGGTATAGTGATAAACTTGAAATATTTTGTAAACTTTTGATTTTGTCTTAATGTATTTTTCTAATTTTAAACAGTAATGTCATGATTATGCAAATTACTCTTGTACCTACTATATTGTATGTCGTCATAATAATAATATAAGTTTATTTCCCAAAGATAATATTTGCTTAAATATTACAATTTTATCTTATATATAGTAAATAAACAATAATCACAGAAGCAATGCATTGAATGTATGGCTTGTGCATGACAGTATTTTTCTTGTTGGTCTAATTTGGGTAGTTCAACAAAATACTGTACTATATTGTCGACTTTAAAGTTCGAAAGAAAACTGGAGCGTCCAGGGGTGAAGATTCCATACGCATTCTCCATTATAAATAATGATATACTTACATCAGGCCTTTTTTTTTGTGAGTAACGAGCTGATCCAAGAGGCGGTGCATACATAATAATGCCTTTTCTCTGGTAATTTAATCAATTGTCTATACAGGGCACTTTTATTTACTAAATAAACAAACTCTCATTGGTGGTATAAAGCCTTTAATTCATTTATAACTTCTAGCAGCAGCCGATATCATACATACTAGAATCGAAACGTTGAATTCAAAAGCTGGAAATTGCTGTGAAAGTCAGTAATATATGGGAACCGAAAAATATTTAATCATATCCCTGCTGGCAATAAAAATACTTGAAATAATATTAAATTGTTAAAAAAAACCTAAAGGAGCTGCTTTTATCTAGAATCTAGAGCATTTTATACATTGCAGGAATACTATGACGCGTCGTTTGAACTTCGAGCATTGTTGAAGAGGGGACATAATTTTGTATGCGTGTTTTCGTTTTGCGTTTTTATTATTATTATTTTTTTGTGTCTCCTCATCACTACTCCTGTGTTGTATTGTTATTGACAACTCCGGGGTTCACATCTAGTGAATACGGGCCTGGCGACCCCGAGTAACCCGAGCTGGAAGTACCTACTCTTTCCTTCACCTAATCTTGAGAGTGCTTTCTCTTCTTCTCCTACCTTTCCTGTTTTATCATCTTTCATCACTTGGAGTGGGAGAAGAGCTTTTCTTTGACCGATCTTCCATTCGCGGATCCTGTAAATTCGATTCGATTTGTCTGGACCTGGAGCGTGACTTTCGATTTTCAATATACATACCTTATCCCCTTCTCTCCGTTATTTTTATCTTTTTTCTAAATTTTTCTTCTTCACTGACTTGGATTACAAATGATGATGGACATTCTTCGTGCAAAGATGTGAAATACCCTCCCATTGGCATCTCCGAGAGGAGGGTGTACGAGGGGAGTCTACATCAAGTTTGATAATTGAATTCTCAAACAGAGGTATTAACGCCAACTTTAACTCAATGCAGCAACATTGTGAGCACAAAAATCCACATATGCTGGTCTTAACGGAGGCACAAGTAACATGTTATGTCAACATTGTCAACCCAATAGATCTCCTATATCCCGGCTATGAACTTCATACGGGACTTCGCTTCAAGAGGGGACTTTGCGTCTTTTCTCGTAGTGAGCTCTCTTGCCACAGTGAAGATGATCTCGAATCACCTGATCACGTTGTAATTTGGCTAAAATTACTTCTTCGATCATGTTTAAGTTAGTTTGCTGCGTGTGTATCTTTCACCCAACGACTCTAGTTATGAACTTCTCTTTGAAAATCTGACAAATTAATTTGATTTTATCCAGGAGACCCAGGAGACCCATATACAAACGCCTAGATTATATTCTTGGGAAATTGTAATCTTCATATAATCAGAGTGCTTGCGTTCTCCAACAAAACAAACAACGCTGGAAGGATTGCTGAAGCATTTGCCATTTCACAAGGCCTAACCCATTTGGTAGAAGAGCCCACACATATTCCCGATTCCGTTTCTCAACATGCTAATTTACTCGATTTGTTCCTTACCACTAATCCCGATCCTTACAAGATCGATGTGTTTGCACCTTTGGGCTAATCAGGCCACAAATGTATATTTCCGCTCGAAGTTCGTTTGTTATCACGTTGATGGACAGAACGTCTATAGACGTCTAATTTACATCGATATTATGTGACACAACGTCTATAGACGACATTTGAAAATAACGAGTTGTGACACAACGACGGTAGACGTTGGCTCCCACATATAAATACTGCACGAACAAATTTATACCACAGCTTATTTATACTGTCCCCACACGCACAGAGAAATATAGGTTACTGTGACTGCATTTTGAAATTTGACCGTTTAGAAGTAGGGGGTTGGGTAACGGATGTTTGTTCGATACAACGTCAGTAGACGTCCGGCTGCCATTAGTCAGACATTGTATTTTTGTTGTGTCACAACGTATTCAACAGAATGGTGAAATAATAACACTTTTATTATAACAATTTCTTGTGTACTGGAGATTCAAAAAACCTGAAACGGGTGTATTATTTCGTATATTTGTTGATGATTATTCTAGAATAAGTATTGAGGCTATGTAGCAAAAATATTTGGCGAGCGTTTCGGAAATTGTCTGTGACGTCTATGTTATGTCACATTACATCTACAGATACATAATGTACCTAATATGACACGATACGTCCATGGTCGTCGTCCAAATGTCAATTTTTTTTTTTTAAACTCCTTTTTTGCATAAACTATATGCGCTGAAAGAAATTAGGAGAAAGTAGATCTCTCTGCCAAACAATTTGCATCCAATTCCTCGATGGAGGATAATGGCACAGTGCCATGGTACTGCCACACATTGGCTCTTACATGGACAACGTTGTATTTAGACCTAGAACCACACTAGATTCTAGCCGTCACAGCCGGAGCAAACCCGATAATAGCCGAACAGCGAACTCTGGTGGATAGAGAATTGAGAACAGAATTTAATTGTTATTTCTATCGTGTCTTAAACCATTCTTATTTTTATCAAAACAAAATTACAAGTCCATTTTCCAAGAAATAATTATTTGTAAAAATATTACATTTTTTGTCGTTCGGATTTAGGATAGTAATAAAGAAAAAAACGAGCAAAACGAAAGTACTTTTTTTTATTTTATTTTTGTCCTATATTTTAATATTTCTAGAGAGGTATCAGCCGGCGTATTATCGCGTTCAAATATTTCGGATGATCCAGAAAAAGAAATTCGATTTAATCTTAATGAACGTTAATAATGTGAAAAGTTATAGGGCGCTAGGGCGGTAGAACAGACTGCCTATGAACCCAGTATTGAGCACTTTAAAACGAAAACAAAATGAACTACTCATCCGAACTACTCATCCGAACTACTCATCCGAACTACTCATCCGAACTACTCCCTTTACTTACAAATGAGCGAAAAAAGGTACCAATTACTCCACAGAGAAAATTAATATTGATTTTAAGTTTATTTTTGTTGTTGGGTTCCTCCTGATTTCCAATTTAAGGAGTTATTCCTAATAAATATCAACATATTTTTTTTTTTTTAAACAAATACATTGCTCCAGTCAACAACCTTTTGCTGCAACCGAATATACACCTTCCTTCGAATTCAATGCGTTCTGTTCGGCTTTCGGCTAAAATCGTAGTTGCTCCACATGTGATAGCTAGACTCTAGTTAGAACCACAGCTTAGGAACTATTAGGAAAATTCTTCTCCAACTTGACACTGGGGAATCTTCTGATCTCGAAGGCATTCCACCGATTGTCCTCAAAACTTGCGCACAAGCATTGGCTTCAGTTCTTTGCTAGTTGTTTCCACTCTCTTACAGTCGAGGCATTTCCCCGACTATCTGGAAATGTGCCATTGTGCAGCCCATCCCGAGGAAAAAAAATCTTCCTAGCAATTATCCTCTCATCTCATTTATATCAGTACTTTCGGAAGTAATGGAAAAGCCGGAAAAGGCAGTCAACCTGCTGAAACTGGTTAAATACCTCCAAGCCAATAAGGTCATCTCTGACAAACAGTACGGGTTTCGTTCTAAAATACCAACAGGGGATTTGCTGGCGTACGTCAGTGATATTTGGAACTCGACTCCCGAAAAACATGGCGAATCCAGAATGCCCGTCCCTTGACAGAATGGTGACGGCCTGTGGAACATTAGTTTGAGTGAGTGCCGAGTGGCTGTGTTGCTCGTCGAAGAATTAGGAAAATCAAATTGCAAATATATTTGTATATTCGCTCGAAGTATCCTAGTTTATGTAAAAGGGCGTTTAGGTGATGGACCTCTCCATACTGCGACCTGAATAGGTCTATTGTGCTTTCCCTTGTCTACTAGGCTCCCAAGTTCAGACACTTCGCGAATCTTATAATTTTCCTGGGATTGGTTCTTCTAACATCCGCAGCAGTCATGTGTCTGCTTCAGATGAATAATTGGAGTCTTCTGTGACATACCTAACGCTTCGCATTTGCAGAGTATATATTCGGCAGATTCGGATGCTTCTTTGCAAAAGCCACAGTCCAAATCTGCAAAAGGTCTGATTCATTCAGCTTTACCCACCTTCTTTAGGTGATAGCCAAGAGGATAGTGACCGGTCAGGAGTCTGGTTTGCCGTGTTCAAGTAGTTCCCTTGCCTTTGTCGAGATGAATTTTTTCGCCTGTCTAAGACCTGGAATCTTGTTTCAGTGAGAGGCTTGTTATGCCTCTTTCCACTTTTTGAGTTCGGCCCTTACATGGCTTCTTGTCAGGCCAAAGAAAGGTTCTGGACCGAGGAATGGTGACGCGACCCCAACTCTCTTGCGAGCCGTTCCGGTTCGCCAGTTTATTTCCTTCTGTATTTTGTTGCCCTGATACCCATGATAGAGGGACTCATCGCGGTTCGCCAGTTGCTTTAGGTTTAGGATTGGTAGTCTCATACTAGTCTGGACTTAGTGACAAAGCTCTTACGAGCTTTAAGTGCTGTCTGACTAGTAGACCCTTATTTAAGCAAGAAGAAATATT